TAAATGTCTCATGAGGTTCCCCAAATTCACCTGAAAACACAATTGTACTTCCTCTCCCTGAATAGAAACCCTCATAGAGCGCTCACCTGCAGGACAGACGTCTCCATCATACCAGATGTAATCAACGGCTCCACACCGACCGGGGTGCTGGAGCTAGGACCCAGCAAATACCGGAACTGGCTCCGGGTTTGCCGAGTGTCACCAATGACTGAATGTTACAGATATGGAAGTCCAAAGAATGTTCAGAAACGAAGAGATCATCGCCCGTCACCAACAAGGAACAGGATACAAGAACATGGTGAAGGCTCTGAATGTTCTGACAGACCCGGCCGGAAGCCGAATGTTCCTACAGACACGGCCGGAAGCCGAATGTTCCTACAGACACGGCCGGAAGCCGAATGTTCCTACAGACACGGCCGGAAGCCGAATGTTCCTACAGACACGGCCGGAAGCCGAATGTTCCTACAGACACGGCCGGAAGCCGAATGTTCCTACAGACCCGGCCGGAAGCCGAATGTTCCTACAGACACGGCCGGAAGCCGAATGTATGTTCCTAAAGCCCCGGCCGGAAGCCGAATGTTCCTACAGCCCCGGCCGGAAGCCGAATGTTCCTACAGACCCGGCCGGAAGCCGAATGTTCCCACAGACACGGCTGGAAGCTGAATGTTCCCACAGACCCGACTGGAAGCTGAATGTTCCCGGAGACCCGGCTGGAAGCCGAATGTTCCCGGAGACCCGGCTGGAAGCCGAATGTTCCTACAGATCCGGCTGGAAGCCAAATGTTCCTACAGACCCGGCTGGAAGCTGAATGCTCCTACAGACCCGGCTGGAAGCCGAATGTTCCCGGAGACACGGCTGGAAGCCGAATGTTCCTACAGACCCGGCTGGAAGCCGAATGTTCCTACAGACCCGGCTGGAAGCCGAATGTTCCCACAGACACGGCCAGAAGCCGAATGTTCCCACAGACCCGGCCGGAAGCTGAATGTTCCTACAGACCCGGCCGGAAGCTGAATGTTCCTACAGACCCGGCTGGAAGCTGAATGTTCCTACAGACCCGGCTGGAAGCTGAATGTTCCTACAGACCCGGCTGGAAGCTGAATGTTCCCACAGACCCGGCTGGAAGCTGAATGTTCCCGCAGACCCGGCTGGAAGCTGAATGTTCCTACAGACCCGGCTGGAAGCTGAATGTTCCCACAGACCCGGCTGGAAGCTGAATGTTCCCACAGACCCGGCTGGAAGCTGAATGTTCCCGGAGACCCGGCTGGAAGCTGAATGTTCCCGGAGACCCGGCTGGAAGCTGAATGTTCCCGGAGACCCGGCTGGAAGCTGAATGTTCCCGGAGACCCGGCTGGAAGCTGAATGTTCCTACAGACCCGGCTGGAAGCCGAATGTTCCCACAGACCCGACTGGAAGCCGAATGTTCCTACAGACACGGCCAGAAGCCGAATGTTCCCACAGACCCGGCCGGAAGCTGAATGTTCCTACAGACCCGGCTGGAAGCCGAATGTTCCTACAGACACGGCCAGAAGCCGAATGTTCCCACAGACCCGGCCGGAAGCTGAATGTTCCTACAGACCCGGCTGGAAGCTGAATGTTCCTACAGACCCGGCTGGAAGCTGAATGTTCCCGGAGACCCGGCCGGAAGCTGAATGTTCCTACAGACCCGGCTGGAAGCTGAATGTTCCTACAGACCCGGCTGGAAGCTGAATGTTCCCGGAGACCCGGCTGGAAGCTGAATGTTCCCACAGACCCGGCTGGAAGCTGAATGTTCCCACAGACCCGGCTGGAAGCATAGTTGACAAGTTTAAAGGTAAAGGAACAATGGTGACACTTCCTGGATGGGGCAGGAAAAGGAAACTATGAACAGCTGCACCCAAATGTCTGAAATAGGCGGCTGAGAAGACCCCTGGAGTGACTGCAGAAGACTCGGGGGCCCCAGGTACAGAGGTTTCAGTCTGCACAGTAAGCTGCGTACTAAACCCAGAAGATTTCCGGATCTCCGAGACGTCACCACCACTGACCCAGAACCACAAGAAAAGTCTCCTCCAATGTGCTCAGAATCAGATAAATAAGACGGAGAAGTTTCCGGATCGTGTTCTGGGGAGCGAGGAAACAAAACTGGAACTGTTCGGCCCGATGGATCAGCGCTGTGTCTGGAGGAAGAAGAATGAACACTCTGCCTCCGGTGATCCGTGGTGGGGGCTCGGTGATTGGCTCTGGGGCTGCTCTGCATCTCCTGGCACTGGAAACCTGCAGCGTGTGGAAGGCGAGATGGATCCATGGAAGTATCAGGAGGTCCGAGGAGATAACGTCATGCCGTCTGTGAGGGAGCAGAAGCTTGTGCGTCATTGGACCTTCCAGCAGGACAATCATCCCAAGTACACCTCAAATCCCACCAAGGCTTGCGTGCAGAAGAAGACCTGGAAGATTCTACAGCGGCCTAACCCTAAGCACATAGAAACTCTCCGGTGGGATCTGAAGAAGGAGGTTGCAGCACACAAATCCCGGGAGATTAGTGAACTGGAGGCCATTGCTCATGAAGAACGGGCTAAGATTCCTCAGGAACGCTGCCAGAGGCCGGTGTCTGGGTCTGCATCTCGTCTGCAGCAGAAGGAGCTCTACTAAGGACTAAAGATGTCTGCCATGAAGGGGGGAGTCACCCTGACTGCAGGAGTCATTACAAGTGGTATGTTCAGGTGAATTTGGAAACATGCGTTGTGCTGACTGATTTCAAATGCTTTCTACACTGGAAACAGCGGAAGGTTTCCACATTCAGCCAATAGAGCTGAGCTGCAATGGGGGGGGGGGGGGGGGGGGGGGCCATTT